TTTTCAAGAAAAAACAACAACAAAGGACTCTATTGTTGACCTCTGTTCAACAGTACTGTTACTGTTAATAGTACTATTAATAGTACTGTTGTCTACTGTTGACCTCACCCCATTCCTAAGAGGACTTTAAGAGGTGTGCATAGCTCACCAACATGCCTACCGTCCCTGTCCTAATGTTCTCTTTTACTCATATCCATTTCATATTTTAACAATCATGATTATACTTATATCTGTTATCTAATACATGCTCGACAAATTAAATAAATAAATGAAATAAATAAAGGAACTCCAGTTAATGTTTGACCTGAACGATTGAGAATGTCCATAGACAATTCTGGGCATCCAAAACTGTGAGCTGTGTACCTAAAATGGGAATGGAAACTAGTCATACCCTCTGTTGTGATTAGCCAGCAGCAGGTGCGGATGGTTGAGGAGAGCAAGGGGCCAGGACTATTAGGGAGTAGACTGCTGCCTTCAGAGATTGTGGAGGCTAGCAGCAGTGATGAGGAGGTTCCCGAGGAGCCTGTGCCAAGTTTGCGTGCATGCAGGGCTGCTTGCAGAAACAGCAGCTGCAACAGCATGGGCAACTCAGGAGTAAGGCTGCAAGGTAATGTCCCCTCCTTCAAGAAGATAAAAGCCAGTTGTGAATCAGACGTTCTTTGCAGGAAGCAAAGACGTTTTGAAATTCGAGCCTTGTGGACATTGCAGTATCTTAGTTGGTATTTGAAAACTCTTGTGTTGCAAAATATTTCTAGGTAACCTTATCTGTTATTCTTGGTAGCCTCGCACAGTTTTGGCAAGGCTCATGCTTATCAAAGTTAATTAGTTTTCAGCAGCCTTTTAACTGGGGATTCGTAAGAAGGTCTCTGTTCCCTTTGGTTTGTGTTTGTTTAATTGGAAAAGGGTCTGGGTCAGAACACCCTCTAATAAAATTTGTTATTAGAATGCATTTGTTTGGTGGATGGCCCTATATCTCATCCCTTCCCATCCACAGCTCATTGGGACTGTTTTGGATCAGGATTACAACATTAACATGAAAAGAGAGTTCATTAAATTGTAAACAGAATTTAAGGTCCTTGAGAATTCTATCTTTCTGTTGTGGTCCATCAGCAGCCTGTGGAGGTAGCAGCAGAGTCGGACAGTGGGGAGGAACATGGGCCAGTTCTGGAGTCTGGGAACGGCTTGGACAAGGGATCTGTGTCCTACACAGAGATGGGACCAGTGCTATCTGAGAGTTATGTGTGGACTCCAGAGCCTCCAGAATCTGACATCAGCGAGGCAGAGGAACAGGGAGAGCCAGTTCCCAGCGCTCTTGTGCAGAACCGTGAGAAGGCAAGACTAGTTAAGACAGAAGAGGTGACTCAGGAGTAAGGCTTGGAGATGATTGTCCCCTCCCATAAAGGAGGAGCAAAGGGACAACAAAGCCTTTGCAGGAAGCAACTTTGTTCATTCTGGTTGGTTTAAACTCTCAAGTTCCGTGTTGACTTTGTGGTCCATTTGGCCTTGTACAGCTAATTGGCAATTTAGTAGTTGGCAGTGTTTCAAGGGAGATAAGGTGGGTGCTTATCAGCTTTATCCCGAAAGACTGTGGCAGACTTCTGCTGGACTATTCATAAATACTCGTTGCAGAATACCTTATGCCACCAGACCTGAAATTCTAGAACTAGAAACCTTGAATTACGCTGTCTTCGGTCTGATTTAAGCATGGTATATAAAATCATACATTGCTATGTCCTACCTGTCAATGAATACTTCAGCTTCAACCATAACAACACAACAACACACAACAGATACAAACTCAAGGTTAACCGCACCAAGCTTGATTGCAGGAAATACGACTTCAGCAACAGAGTGATCAATGTCTGGAATACTCTACCTGACTCTGTAGTTTCTTCCCCAAACCCCAAAAACTTTAACCTTAGACTGTCTACTATTGACCTCACCCCTTTCCTAAGAGGTCTCTAGGGGGCGTGCATAAGCGCACCAACGTGCCTACCGTCCCTGTCCTATTGTTTCTTTTATTTTTCTTTTCTTTTTCTTATATGTACCCATTTCATGTATTCATAACTATGTATACACTTATACTTATTATCTTGTAAACAATTGAGAAATCAAATAAAAATAAATAAATAAATAAATAAATAAATTGTTTGGGACTTATTACGGGCTGTGAATGCATATAATTCACAGTTGTTGAAATAAAACAAAAGGTTTTTGGGAGCAGTGTGTGATTGTTACTGTTTCAGGAAGCCTTGGTCAGAAAACTTTCTATCTACTGTACCTATTATCCAGAAGTGGTATTCAGCAGGTTCTCACCAGTTCTAGAGAACTGATAGTGGACATTTTGAATAGTTCAGAGAACCAGCAAACACCACCTCTGACTGCCCCCACCCCCATCTAGTCTCTGACTCCTGAGTCCCAGCTGATTGGCTGGGTCTTGTTTTGTTGCCCTGCACAGGAGAACAGAGCTCGAAAGCAGGTTAGTGGGATAGGGAGGGAATGGAGATTTTGCAGTATCCTTCCCCTGCCACACCCTCCAAGCCATGCCCACCAAGCCACACCACACCCACCAAGCCACGCTGCAAAACCAGTAGTAAAAAAAAAATTGAGTCCCACCACTGTCAGTTTTATTATTAAACTTAATGTTTAATTACTAAATCACACAGTAGTAGCTAGGAAACAAAAGTAATAAACAATTTTAGATGTTTTTCAGATGGGAAGAAAATGAAACAAGTTCTTTTAATTGAGGAATTTCTTGATAAATCCAAACCATTGAATGGGCACAAGGGACAGAAGTAGGGAGAAGACAAAGAGTTCTTTTTGCTGTTTGTGACATATGAACCACTTATTAGAATCATGTTTCTTTTTTAGCTTTCGTGATTAGTTGTTCCTTAGTATTGAGGTCTGGTCTCAAAATAATAATGTAGCATTTGGGGAAAAAGATACAGCCCAGAAGGCCAGCACTGGAGGCCAAGATGGAGATGACCTGCACAGCTACCATGTACTTCCCTTTGGTACTGAGATAGGTGGGCATGAAGGAGACCCAGACGCTACAAAAGACCAGCATGCTGAAGGTGATCAGCTTGGCTTCGTTGAAGGCTCCAGGCAGATTCCTGGCCAGAAAAGCCACCGTGAAACAGATGGCAGCCAGGAATCCCATATAGCCAAGAGCACAGTAAAACATGGTGTCGGATCCTTCATTGCATTTCAGGATGATCTCTCCAGGTTGAGAGTGTGGGTCAGAGTCAGGAAATGGGGGAGAGGTGCCAAGCCAGCTGCTGCAAATGACAATTTGAAGACCAGAGCAAGAAAGGATAATAGAGTTGGCCAAGCTCTTCCCCAGCCATTTCTGAACTTTATTCCCTGGTTTTGTGGCCAAGAAAATCAGCACCACTGTGATTGTTTTTGCCAAAATGGAAGAAATGGCAACTGAGAAGATGATGCTAAAGGTTATCTGTCGGAGAAGGCAGGTGGCTCTCCTTGGCTGGCCAATGAAGAGGAAGGGAGTGAAGAAGGAAAGCAGGAGGGAGACCAGGAGAATGTAGGAAAGGTCTCTGTTATTGGCTTTGATGATTGGAGTGTCTAGGAATTTAATGAAGATCCCCAAAACAAAGGCTGTGGTTAAAGACAGGAACACGGCAATGGAAATTAACATGACCCCTAAATATTCTTGATAACTTAGGAAGGTTTTAATCTTAGGCATACAACGATCTTGTCTGATATTTGGATGCTGGTCTTCTAGACAAGGGGTGCATTTTTCAGAATCTGAAAAGAGCAAGAATATTACCACTGGTTCTTTCACCTTTTACTGAAGCTATTATTTGCATAAAATTAGTAAAGAATTAATGCTGTTCACAGAGAGGCTGCAAGAATGAAGAAGCAGAATGCTCCATGCTAGATAAGGTATTTCCCCTGCAGCAAACTCTGCAGAGTTCACAATTCAGCTTCAGCTTCAACCACAACTATACAAGAGCACACAACAGATACAATGTAAACCGCTCCAAACTTGACTGCAGAAAGTATGACTTCAGTAAAAGAGTGGTCAATGCCTGGAATGCACTACCTGATTCTATTGTTACATCCTCTAACTCCCACTCCTTTAACCTTAAACTATCCACTATTGACCTCACCCCATTCCTAAGAGGTCTGTAAGGGACGTGCATAAGTGCACCATCGTGCCTACCGTCCCTGTCCTATTGTCCCCATTCATACCTATTTCCTACATTCTTACTCATGTTTGTACTTATACCTATTATCTTGTAAGTGACTGACAAATCAAATCAAATTAAATCAAATAAATAAATAAATAAAATTCAAATGGAAGATCAGCCTGGAAAATAAGATCAGCATGCTAAGATCAGGTATAAGTGAGCTAAAACAGATTAAAGAAAAGAAGCTGAAAAACAAGAAGATTAAAAAAAAACAGATCAAGAAAAATCACCTAAAGGCAAGGAAAATCAAGGAAGCACTGGAAATAATAAAGTTGCAAAAAATTTAGAACTTTGATATCATATTATATACGTTGATGGCATGCACTGAAATGGAAGGTCACTTTCATCCCCACAAATGGATGAATGACTGCAAAAATTGATGGAGTTAGCAGAGGTGGCTAAATTGACTGTTTTGCTCAAAGAAAAAGATACAAATAATGTTGTTTCTACCTGGAAACCACTTCTGGACTTTGTGCTTGAGGTGGAAAAAAAATGAAACTTTGGATTTTACCAATTAGATAGATTTGCTGCAATAGAAATGGCTAGTTTACACTATTATATATACTATTTTTACTATTATGTAACAGTAAAAAGTTGAGGTTTGATGTTAATGCCTTATTCTACTGCACCAAAGAGAATCAAAAGTCAATGCCTTTTTTTCTTTTCCCTCTTTTCTTTCCCTCACTTTTCTCTTCCTATTTTCCCTACTATTTACTTTTGCATTTTCTTTGTGTGCTATTTAATAAACTAATAAAAACTGTTTTTTTAAAAAGGAAATAACTATTGGCACAAAGAGTGAATTGTAGGAAGCCCTCCCAAGAATGAAATATTGGGGGGGATATTAAAAGAGGCAGAATATTATATTTCCCAAAAGGAGAAATGGAGAAGCATGTTCTTAAAGGCAGAAAGCAGACCCAGTCTTTCTTAATAACCTCCAGCAGATGCTTGAAGTCTTTAGAGATGGATATTTTGTGCCCATTAAGAAAGACTGGGCCAATCCATTCACAAACAAAACACCGTCAGCTCCAGCTGGTGGGATTAAGAAGGACAGGGCATGATTTTTACGACATAATAGGATTAATCCACCACCATTAGAATAGCAAAAGGCACAAGGCTCATTACATTGCACAACCTCCTGCAGCATCTCAGAACCCTATAAAACCCATGTACTCATCAAACCAATTTGTCAGCTGTCCCAGAACTACATGCTCTTGTTGGTTCTTCTCATCAATAAACAGAAACCTTCTTTCCAGTCAGCCTCCATTTTATTTCTAGTGCCTTTCTCCCAACTTGGAATTGGACTGGATTCCACCCCCCACAACAATTGGAAGCAATATTGATGGGCTCTACTTACAAAGGAGCATAAGTGGGCATGGAATGTTACAATAGATGGTCGAAGAGGGAAAAAGGACATTTGAAAAATTATTTGAAGAATAATGAAGAAGATGCACTGAAGCTAGTAGGCTTACTAAGTAATTTGAAAGACCAAACTGGCCTACAGGAAAGGCCAAATGAAGAACAGAAAAGAGACATGGCCAGTACACACACACACACACACACACACACACACAGAGCAGATAACAGCAAGACCTGGCAATAGTTATAAGCAGGACATTTGAAGAGATAGGGGTGTAACTCAACTCAAAGAGATAAGGGGGTAACTTTTAAGGCTTGATATTAAAAAAATCCCAAAGCATTCAAAACCAGAATTGTGAAGATAGCAACAGACAGCAAATGATGCCTCTGCAAAGAAGCTGAAGAAACAATAGACCACCTGGTTAGCTGCTACAAGATCACCCAGATTAACAACCAGCAATGGCATGATAAAATAGCAACACTGGTTAAGAGTCACAGTGGCACAGTGGTTAGAATGCAATACTGGAGGCTACTTCTGCTGACTGCTGGCTGCCTGCACTTTGGCAGATCAAATCTCACCAGGCTCAAGGTTGACTCAGCTTCCATCCATTCAAGCTGGGTAAAATGAGGACCCAGATTGTTGGAGGCAGTAGGCTGACTCTGTAAGGTGCTTAGAGAGGGCTATAAAAGCACTGTGAAGCAGTATATAAGTCTAAATGCTGTTGGTATTGCTACTGGAAGATCTGCAATAAATACCATTTGCCCACCAGCAAGAACTGGTGGGACCATAAAATAGAGAAAGTAGAAATATAAAATGAAGAAGTTAAAGTGTATAGAATTCAAATAGCCACATAGCCCAGACTTAACCACTGTTGATAAGAAAGACAAAAAGTCTGAATAACAGATGTAGTATAGCAGTACAGAAAAAGGGAAATGGGAGAAAATCACAAAATATAAAGACCTGCAAATAGAAGTACAACAACTGTGGCAAAAGAAAGCAAAGATAGCACCAATAGTAATCAGTGTCCAAAACATCTGGAACACTACTTGAATATTATCAGCATTGACAAAATCACATCCAGTCAATTGCAAATGGCAGCTTTACTTAGAACAGCTTACATCCTGCAATGACACCTTTAAAATTATATTGAAGAACACCTATTTGAGGTCCCCAATGTTACCCACCTTCTTGGGTAGAGATGGTTCCTTCTGCACAAGGAATGCAATCATAGCAGCAAATGGGCCTCCCCTCCTGAGCTACCTTCCTGAATCCGGGACGGCAACTTTCCACACACCTGGAAGGAGGCAGGGGCTGAGGAGGGAGAGATAGAGCGAATTTATTTAAAGAAAAATAGGAAAGGGTTAACAGCCTCACCTAAAGAATAATCTTCAGGCTACTCGCCAATGTATCCCACCCCATCTACAGACGAGAACACACACAAGTTTTTTAATTAAATTAGTTTAGATTGGTTTGGAGTTTGTTAGTTGGAATGCTGACACTGACTTCTTCAAGGAAAGGTCAAGAAAAAGGTGAAATTTCTGAAGTGAAATCAGCAGGCTGTCAGGGCTCCAGCATCCTGCATTTGTTCACCACATTATAAAAAAGATGTTGAGGCTCTAGAAAAAGCACAGAGAAGAGCAACCAGGATAATTAGGGGACTGAAACTAAAACATACGATGAACGGTTGCAGGAACTGGGCCTGAAGTAAAGAGAAGGACCAGGGGAGAGATGATAGCAGTATCCCAATATCTGAGGGGCTTCCACAGAGAGGAGGGAATCAAGCTATTTTCCAAAGTACCCAAAGGCCAGACAAGGCATAATGGATGGAAACTGAACAAGGAGAGATTCAACCTAGAAATTAGGAGAAACTTTCTGACAGTGAGAACCAATGGAACGGCTTGCCCTCAGAAGTTGTGGGAACTCCATCACTTGAGACTTTCAAGAAGAGATTGGACTCCCATCTGTCAGAAATGGTGTAGAGTCTCCTGATTGGGTGGGGGGTTGGGCTAGATGACCTATAAGATCCCTTCCAATTCTGATTATCTGTTACCCAACCCCATTCAAATCATGAGTCTCTTCCTGCATCTCTCAGAGTAAAAACAAACAAACAAGATTTATTAGGGGTGAACATGCCAGCATTACCTGGATGCAGTCAACTCTGAGACACATCATTCATTTCCCCCTTGACCCTAGTCTTCCCTGCACCCCCTGGATGTATCTTCTCCAATGGGACACATTCATAGCCAAGAGTCATCAATTGTGCTCTCGAGTAATAATCTTGCACTCCAGAAGCTTCAGTTGCCTAGAAATTATCTATAAGCATTTAAGGAATGCAATCCCCCAATCCCTTTCTGCTGTCAACTCTAAAAGACCAGAGAAATATTTTTGAGTTGTCAGTCCTTGAAACCACTATCACCCCATTAGGAGAATGTAAGAAAGAGTGAAATAAAGAGGTTTTCTTCACCTTGTTCATTTTTTCCATCTGAGCAATATTGTTCTGGTCGATCACCAGTTTGGAATCCTGAATTCCCTGTCTTTCTAGATGCCCAGATTTCATCCTGGTGACAGACTTGTTTTTGTAAACCATCCAGTTCACAATGTACAAGTCAACTGCCGGCTCTCCATTTTCATCCAAATATACCCCATCAATGGAATGATTATAAAACTGGCGGGTTTGAAGGAAAGCATGAAACTGAAAAGGAAGAGGAAATGGGGAATATTTGGAAAGGAACCCAGAAGTCCTATGGTATGTTTTGCCTGATGCCTGATCTGAATATTTCTCTATATAAAGTCCAGATTCTAGATTTATTTACTCCTTCAGGGCAGAAACTGTAAATATTTGAATCATAACAGCTACTAATTTTCTGCTTAAATACATACAAACCAGAGGTGGTATCCAGCAGGTCCTGACCAGTTCTGGAGAACCGGTAGCAGAAATTTTGAGTAGTTCGGAGAACCAGCTAATCCCACCTCTGACTGGCCCCACCCCCATCTATTATCTGCCTCCTGAGTCCCAGCTGATTGGCTGGGTCTTCCTTTGTTGCCCTTGCAAAGGAGAATGGAGCTTGTATTTTTCAGTTGGTAAAACTACTGAAGAAATCTTAGAGCCAATCATGATATTACAAAGATACTTTTCAAAGGGCAACTGGATTTTATCACTTTTCTTCTTGAGAACATTTTGCTTCTCATCCAAGAAGCTTCAGTTCTTGAAAAGCTTCTTGGATGAGAAGCAAAATATTTTCAGGAAAAAAAAAAACTAAGAAAGTCCAGTTGTCCTTTTGAAAAGCACCTTTGGGATAGCCATGACTTGGATGATCCAGAGGCACAATGGCTCAGTGTGTTAATGATGCTGAAGATGGTTTTAATTCTCATGGTTTGAGCCCTAGTTCTGCATGACAGGGTGAGCTCCTGTCACTTGCTTTAGCTTCTGTCAAGCTAACAGTATGAAAGCCAGGGGTGGAATTCAACTGGTATTACTAGCAGTTCAGTGAGAGTACGTTTTGTGCGCTGTGCGCACGTGTACAGCATTTGCAAGAAAACATTAGCTGTGCCGCCCAGACAGCTGACAAGCACTGTGCAGGGTGCACAGCTTTGAAAATCCTCTTCTTTCCTGCTTTTTCAACCTCAGCTGTGCCACTCCAAGCAGCTGAGGTTGAAAAAGCAGGAAATAAAGAGCCCAGGCGGGCGGGCGGGCCAAAAAGACAACCAAAAGGTCATTGCAGCAAACCAGTTTGGTGACTGCTGCTCTTCAGATCTATCAGTTCTATAGAACTGGGCCAAACCGGTAGCATCCCACCTCTGATGAAAGCATGTTCTATGAGAGTAGATAGATAGGTACCACTTTGATGGGGAGACAAGCTGGTGTTCTATGCAGGCAGTCAAATTCCTGAGGGCTCCGAATCTTCCTGGTTGTGTCACCCATTTGTTAGGCAGCTGCCAGAAGGGAGGGGCATTATGTGATCCCGAAAAAAGAGCCGCTCATCTTTCCCTCTGGTATGAAGCCAGGTCGCCCTCCTATGGCACATATTGGAAGTGCACAAGCATTTCCTATAACAGGGCTGGTACCTTGGCAAGCCAAACTACTACTCTGCAATAGCATTGTGGTCTCTGTTCTGTACTCTGTACTCTGCACTGTAACAAGGCCATATGCTAATAATACTAATAAACCTGGATGACTGAAAATTTCCATAGGCATTGAGCCAGTCATGAGTTCTCTCCTTCACTTTCCAGCCTTTGGTTTATTTCAGATAGAAAACATCTGGATGCAGAACCCTCCCTCTTTATGGTTTGGAACTGAGTTGTGCACCAAAATACCTGCCAAGCCTTTAGCCTTTGAGCTCCCAGGTTCTCACCACTGTGTCTTACTGGCCTTTTGGATCTGGAGAAATAGGCTGAATGCAAGGTCAGCCCCACAGCCCAGATTATGCTGTAAGTGAAAGAGCTGTCAAAAGACAGGATTTGTTGCATCTCTCCCTGGGGTAGAAGCTCCAGCTTTCTTTCCCTGCACCGTCTCCAGGCTTTCACAGACAAGACATCCTTGATGGAGGAACACGTAAAGGATTTCTCAACAAAGAGTTTCATGGAGGAGTGAAGTTGCTTAAAAGCGTCAAAGGTCACCATTTTCTTTGTCTGCACAAGAAAAGAAAAAAAGCCACCAATGTTTCGGAATGTAGAGATACTGCTTTCCATGAAATCCCAAGTGAGATCCCAGCAGGCTGTTGTGATCCAGACTTTGCCTGTAACAGGTTCCTTAAGATGTATAAGCATGACGTGCATGATGAATATTCCAATCTGGAATGAACTAATCTCTACACCATAAAGAAAGGCATTCACTTGATTCCACTTGGCAAATGGTTCCAAACTCAACACCAAGTTACTGATTTTTATGGAAAACATTTGAGATAAAACTGGACAAATGCCATTCTTGATCAGCATGGAGGTCATTGTCCTCATGAACCTCTCCCCCTGGTCCGTGTCCGGAGCCATTAGGCCAACCAAGGTCCACCTGAAATGGAGGAGCAGCTTGACCATCCCTGGGTACTGGACTCCTTCAGCAGGGAGCATCAGGTAGAAGAAAGGAAACTGAGTTTTATCCCTCAGAATTGGGGAAGCAAAACTGTAACTGATCTGAAAAAGGAAGACAAATGTATTAAGTGACTCATACATTCCCCCTTCCCACTGAACACTTCTGAAATAAAGATCACGGTTTTGAGGTATTCCCCATTAGGAGAATGAGTGCACTCAGGGAAATGTAGTGAGAGTGATGTTGAATAACACACGACCAGCATACAGATACACTGAATAGTAAAATGTAGGTTTTACTTCCAGTAAACAGGTAAACGAAATCCAACAAACAATCCAAATCATACATGGTTAAAGCAGTTAGTATCAGTCCAGGGATAATCCAAAAACAAAGTCAACTATCTTAAACAGAGTTCAGTAAATGGAGTCTGCTAACAGTTGCAAGACTCACAGCAATCCAAGCAGAACAACGATCAGGCAACAGGGCAATACAGGAAATGCAAGGAAAACAAACCAGGTTTCTGGCTCCATCTTATGGCCATTGAAGGAACCTTCAATGCCAATCACACACGGAGACTTTATTTCTCTGCTCAGGTATTGCTTTTCTTTCCACTTGTTCCCTAAGTGCACCATTTTGTTATTCCAAAGCGTCGGAAGAATCCTCCTATCTAGATTGGGATCATAGCAGAATGGAAGATCCCAGAGATGCTTTTTCAAAATCGGCTTGCTGTCAAGATTCTGGCAGTTGCCCTAATTAAATCATGAGCCTCGAACCAAGCTTCAAAAACTTCAAAGGATTTATTAGGAGCAAACATGTCGTCATGACCTATATGAAGCCAATTCTGAGACACGTAATTCACTATCACCTATGACCCTGTTTCCCCCCCCTCCCTTCTGGGTGTATCATAATTCATATTCTCCAACAAAACAAGTTCATAACTAAGTGTCATTAATCACATTCTCCAATTAGGGATTTTCATGGCAGAAATTCCGGTAGGTTAGTTACAATCCTTGGTTTTAAACTGCTGCACTGCTCCTTCAAATCCTCCCCACTCCCATTCATGGCAACTCTAAAACAAGCATACAAATGTTTTATGAGTTGACAGCAACTGGATTTTGTTTTTCCTTAAAGATGCTTTGCTTCTCAACTAAGAAACTTCTTCAGTTCTGAAGAAGCTTCTTGGATGAGGAGCTAAATGTCTTCAAAGAAAAATGTCCAGTTGAAAAAGCATCTTTGGGACAACCATCACCTGGAAGACTGTGAATCTCCATAGACAGATGAAGAGGTCTACTCTCTTTTCTCCTTTTAACAGAATAATAGAGTTGGAAGGGACCTTGGAGGTCTTCTTTTCCAGCCCCCTGCTCAGGCAGAAGACCCTAGACCATTTCTGACAGATGGGAGTCCAATCTCTTCTTGAAAGTCTCAAGTGATGGCGCTCCCACAACTTCTGAGGGCAAGCTGTTCCATTGGTTCTCACTGTCAGAAAGTTTCTCCTAATTTTTAGGTTGATCCTCTCCTTGTTCAGTTTCCATCCATTGTTCCTTGTCTGGCCTTTAGATGCTTTAGAAAATAGCTTGACCCCTTCCTCTCTGTGGCAGCCCCTTAAATATTAGAACCTTGCTATCATGTCTCTCCTGGTCCTTTGCTTCACTAGACTAGCCATGCCCAGTTCCTGCAACCGTTCTTCATATATTTTAGTCTCCAGTCCCCTAATCATCCTGGTTGTTCTTCTCTGCACTCTTTCTAGAGTCTCAACATCTTTTTGTAATCTGGTGAACAGAACTGGATGCAATACTCTAGGTGTGGTCTTACTAAGCCTTTATAGAGTGGTATTAGTACCATTCTCAATTTCTGGAGCCAAATTGTTCCACTGATTAATTGTTCTCACTCTCAGGACATTTCTCCTGAGTTCTAGGTTGCTTCTCTCCTTGATTAGTTTCCATCCCTTGTTTCTTATCTTGCCTTTGGGAATCCTGATCCCTCATTTCCAAGGTCTGTGATAATACTCTGCTCTTGAATTTAAGTTTCTATGGCTAAATATCATCCTCTCAGTAAAGAAATAATACCTGTGGGACTTTGTAGGTGCCCAACATGTTTGAAATGAGGATGGAAATGTCAGCATTGGCCCCTTCCAGAACGGCGAGCGTGCTTTTCTGCTTTCCACACCTGTAGTTGGGAATGTTGGCCTCCCCATCTGAAAGCAGGTCCAGAAGAGTATCCAAAGTGATTTGTTCACTGAAATAGTGTTCATAGATATTGTAACCCAGAGTGATGTTAAGTGAGAGACTCCTAGAATCCTGGTTGAACTGGTGGACAGCAGAAAGAAAGGAGAGCATTTTCCAGTATTTGGTGTATTGTCCCCTGCACATATAAACATATTAGGAAATGAATCCAAAGAACATTTTGCTGAAATACTATTCAATATTCTACTTCACCCACTATCAAAGAGTTCTTATGTGACAATTAAAGCATCCCTAAAAATATTAATATAGAAAAATAGTCAAGGTAATAAATTGTAGTATTAAAAGTTTTAAAATCTTGTTTCAAAAGTACTATCTCAGTTTATAACAAGAACAGAAAGTCAATTTTATGAACAGATTGATGACATTTCATAGCATTTTACAATGGATTATTTAACTCTCCCCTATTAAGGATGGTTGATGTGCTGAGATAGCAATATACTGACTTCATGTTATCTCTAAACAAATCTAATTATTATTGGCTTTTGCTGATTCTGATTTTGCTGATTCTCCTTTGAAGTTGGACCAAGAATTCAATCTAGTTTAAAGAGATATTCTCTTTTTCTCACTCTTTTCTAAAATCATCTTCCCCAGCTTTTAATATTTGGAAATTTTACCTATTCATCAATATTAAATATAGAATCATAATGTTGGAAAGGATCCTTAGGAGAACAATTCTACTGTCTAATTTTTTTGATGTAAACATAAGCCAAGCACACAATTGTCATCATCAGGATCTTTGCATTAGAGCTATAGTTTAGAATTTCATTTCTGTTGAGCTTGGCAGCATTAAATATTTGACATAAATTCATCAATGAGAATCATTGTAGGGACTATTTCCTAGTATGATTTGATTGCTTATTGTACCCTATGACTATCATTAAGTGTTGTACCCTATGATTCTTGACCCTTGATGAATGTATCTCTTCTTTTATGTTCACTGAGAGCATTTGCAGCAAGATAAATTCCTTGTGTGTCCAATCACACTTGGCCAATAAAATAATTCTATTCTATTCATACACTTGCAAAATCAGTGAACGAGTACATTCTTAACTGTAATTCTTTCATCTCCAATCTATGGAGATTCTCAATCATCCAAGTCATGGTTGTTCCAAAGGTGTTTTTCAAAAGGCAATTGGACTTTTTTTGTTTTTTCTTTGAAAATGTTTCACTTCCCAACCAAGGAATGTCTTCAATTGCTTCTTCAGTGACATGATAGCAGTGCTCCAATATCTAAGGGATTGCCACAAAGTAGAGGGAATCAAGCTATTCTCCAAAGCAGCTAAAGGCAAGACAAGGAAAAATGGACAAAAACTAATCAATGGAAAGAAACAACCTAGAACTAAGGAGAAATTTCCAGACAGACAGAACAATTAATCAGTGGAATGCCTTGCTTCCAGAAGTTGTGGATGTTCCAACACTGGAAGTTTTTAAGACAAAATTGGACAACCATTTGTCTGACATGCTATTGGGTTTCCTACCTGAGCAGGAGGTTGGACTAAAAGACCTCCAAAATCCCTTCCAGTTGTGTTATTTTATATTCTGTTGCCTTTTGAAAAGCACCTTTGGGACTTTCATCTCAACAGTAAATCTTAGTATAGAACAGGAATTGTGAAGCTCGTCCCATCAACCAGTTTAAGGAGAAAATAGATTATTTCTATGTCATTTTCAGGAATCAAGATCACTTTGAGGATGACTGTCTTCTGGGGCCAGAGTGGAGTAAGGAGGGACCACTCCATAGGCCCAAGGTAGTTCTGCTTAAAGGAAGTGAAGAAAGGGACTGTTTGTTCTGCATGTTGAAATGATAGCAAAGATCTCCACTTTGATCATCTTACTTGATAGGTGTCGAGGAGCCTCATCAACTGCAGTGTGTAAAATAGGTCCCCAAGATATAATAGGACAGAAAGAGAGCATAAGTAGCAGTTCAAGGGGACAATACCTGGTCATTTTCAGAGGGCTGGAACTGACTTACAAGAATAACTGAATGGAAGGAGTTTTGTTGAAGCTAAATGGTAGAAACCTAGCCTGGGTTGCAGAGATTATCCCACTAAGGAGATAATCTCCTGGCTTGTAATAATTCTGTGAATAAACTTCTTCCTGCTCCAGAGTCAAGAGGCATTTGGCTTTGCGCTGCTGAGAAGCTGCCGGAGGCCACAAAAGCAGCACCAGGAGAAGTAGCAGCAACATGACTTCCTGGCTTGCTCCACCATGATGCATTGCAAATGTCTTCTCAAAGAATGAGAAGAATGGGTTGAGGAAATAAAAGCTGCCTTCCAAAATACAAGCTTCACTGGCTTTCTTAATTCAGGGGCCAGACAAGGATTCACATCTGAAGAGGAAGGGAATAAACACAGCCCCTGCCTACACCTTACAAAGCTCCCTTTTTCTCCATAACCATTTATCAGTGAACCTTTCTGATGAGAAGATGTAATGCAAGATTACTCTGGTGCCTGGCATTGACATCAAAACATGTTTTGGATGTGCTTGTTGACCAATTTACTCAATAATTCCAGAAAGGTCTCTTGAGACTTAATAGGAAGATAACAAATGCAACTCAATGATTAGAATAATTGTAAAGAATGGAAAATCCCCTCTAGAAACTTAAAAATATTCAGCAGGATGGTGCCCAAAGGGAGAACTTGCAGATGTGGCTTCAAACTTAGAAAATTAGAATTTGACCCCAAACTTGAATCTGAACAGTCTTGCAACAATGCACATTTATCTCCTGTCCATGTTCTTCTGTACAGCTGTACAACTGAAAAAGAAAGGTTCACGCGTACCCAAAATTTATGTTGCTAAGTGAGACATCTGATAAAGGAGTTTTGCCCCATTTTGCAACCTTTGTTGGTACCGTTGTTAAGTGATTCACTGCAGTTATTAAGTTAACAATACAGTTATTGAGAAAATCTGGCTTCCTCGTTAACTTTGTCAGAAAGTTACAAAAAATAACAGATAACAGATAATCAGGGTTGGAAGGGACCTTGTAGGTCATCTAGTCCAACCTATCCCACCCAAGTGGGACACCCTACACTATTTCTGACAAATGGCAGTCCAATCTCTTCTTGAAAGTCTCAAGTGATGAAGCTCCCACAACTTCCAAGAGCAACTTCTGTTCCATTGGTTGATTGTTCTCACTGTCAGAAAGTTTCTCCTTGTTTCCAGGTTAAATCTCTCCTTGTTCAGTTTCCATCCATTATTCCTTGTCTGGCCTTCAGGTATTTTAGAAAATAGCTTGACCCCTTCCTCTCTGTGGCAGCCCCTCAAATATTGGGACACTGCTATCATGTCTCCCCTAGTCCTTTTCTTCACCAGACTAGCCATGCCCAGTTCCTGTAACCGGTCTTCATATGTTTTAGTTTCCAGTCCCCTAATCATCCTGGTTGCTCTTCTCTGCACTTTTCCTAGAGTGTCAACATCTTTTTAACAATGTAGTGAATAAAATTGGATGCAGTACTCTAGGTGTGGTCTTACTAAGGCTTTATAGAGTGGTATTAGTACCTCACTTGATCTCAGTTCTATCCCTCTGTTAATACAATTTAGGATTGGATTAGCTTTTTTGGCTGATGCTGCACACTGCTGGCTCATATTTAGCTAGTTGTCCACTAAGACTCCAAGCTTCCTCTCACAGTTACTGCTATTGAGCCTGGTTTCACCCAGTCCACATGTGTCCTTTTGGTTTTTCTTGCCGAAGTGTAGGACTTTACTTTTCTCTACATTATTCTGGGATATGGCATCCATCATAAATATGAGATAGTTGTCAAGCACCTAAATTTTGATCACCTGACCATGGGAATGCTGCAACAGTTGTAAGTGTAAAAAATGGTCATATGTCACTTTTCCCAGTACCATTGTAACTTCAAACAGTCATTACATGAATTGTTCTAAGTCCATGATGGCGAACCTATGGCACGCATGCCAGAAGTGGCATGCAGAGCCGCTATCATGCCCTTGTTGGAGTCTGAGAGGGAGATTGAGCAGCTGATAGGGAGTGGGTGTGTCTATCTGGTGGCTGTGGAGGAAACTGGGAAAGGGCACAGGCGGCTGGGCATTCAGAGGAAGACCCAAGGACATCCCCTCTTCATCCTAGGGCACACAGGGAGGAATGGAGAAGGGAGCAACATTGTTTATGGGGGAGGAAAGGGCCCCGATTCCCTTCATGGGATGCAGCTGAGAAGACTGCTTTAAAAGGCAAACTGAACATGGCAAACTTGCTGGAAGCAAAGTGTGCATTATCGTTGTCGAGGCTTATCTGGGTTTTGGCATCCTCCCAACTGTGGGTGCTATGTTACCTTTTGGAAGTCTGCAATTTATCATCCTGGCTTGTTGTGTTAATTATTTCAGTGTGGTTTGTGTTGGTTTTTTAATTTCTAATTATCTTTACTTTGGGTTCGGACTGCATTTCTTCCCTTCGTAGACAGTTTTTGGAAGAGTTTGATCTCTAGCTGAGGATAACTAGACATTGGGGGCTAAGTTGGAGGCATTAAAGGGAATTTATCTACTTTGGTGACTTTGTTATTTTTGTGTCACACCCTGGGTCATCACAGCCACTTCTGCTGGCATACAAGAGGTTGCCTAGAAGAGCCCCACTGTGCATGCGTGCACGCCGCCTGCCTGCCTGCCTGTTGATTGTTGGGTATATGGTGCACATGTGCGGGTGCAGGGGTGCACAGGAGATGCATGTGCATGTGCAGAATCACATGGGGCACGCAGGGGGGTCTTGTGAGCATGCACAGATGCACAGGGTGCATGGGATGAACATGCATGCATGCGCAGAGATGCATGGCACACAGGGTGAACATGTGCACATGCACAGAGACATGTGGCCCACAGAGTAATTGCGTGCACATGCACAGGGGGCATGGGGTGTGTGTGCCACCGAACTGCCGAACTTTCTGATTGACAAGCTCAGCATCTTAGCCACTGAGTCATCCCCTCCTCTTGGCAGTTAAAACCAGTTAAAAAGATTACAGGTAGTCCTTGACTTAGAACAGTGGTGGCTCACCTTATTGGGCTCCAAGAAGACCATGTTCACACCCCCCCCATGCCCCCTGTGCATACGCAAAAAAACTTTCACTTGGGAAATTGCTTTTGACATGCCAGATCTGTTTCTAATAAATCAATTGGAGAGATAATGGTCTCAGAGTGATTGATATCATGGATACTTTCTGGATGCCTGACAATGTAATTACAACATAGTTATAGCTACCTTCTGGCCACCATTGCTGCCTAACATCCAGAATATTGAAATTAAATGCAATAATAACTCCCAGCCCCTTATCAGCAACTCCATATACCCTCGTCACCAACTCACCCCCTTCTGTGCCTATTGCACCACCTATTTACATCACCCCTCCCCCCATGACTTCTAATCATTGCAGTCTTTAGCTGAGATTTTTCACTGCTGCACAACTCCTGCCCAGGGCATTGACGTCATCTAATCATGTTTCAGGAAGTCATCAGAACTCGCTAAGCATTGGAATGTCTCAGCAAAATGCCAACACAGCCAAGTTCATTCCTCAAGGTAAGGGAGGTGTGAGTGCTGGCGTATTGAGCCTCAGTTGTCTCAGCTCCATATCAATCATCGTTGGAGTTGTGACACTATTGTTATTTTTTCACTCGAGGATAGTCTCCTCTTTTCTCATAAAATAAAACCTGATAACAGATAATCAGAGTTGGAAGGGACCTTGTAGGTCATCTAGTCCAACCCCTTTGCCCATTCTGACAAATGGCAGTCCAATCTCTTCTTGAAAGTCTCAAGTCTCAACCTGAACCATCCCTCTGCTTGTTGTTCTTAATTATTTGAGATTTTCTTATGACCTTTCCAGCACTCTAGTGAGTCTCGGACACAGGTGGTATTCAGCAGGTTCAGACAGGTTCTAGTGTACTGATAGCAGAAATTTTGAATAGTTTGGAGAACTGACAAATGCCACTTCTGGCTGGCCCCACCCACCCACCCTTGCCCTTTCCTGTCATATATTTCTTGTTTTTTTTAGCTCAGCTGATTCACATGGCAGAGTGGAGATCCACATCTGATTACCACCTCTGACTAGAGATTTTACAGTATCCTCCCCTTGCCATGCCCACCAAGCCATGCCCACAGAACCAGTAGAAAAAAAGTTTGAATCCCACCACAGACCAGTAGGAACGAAGTTGGAATCCCACCACTGGTCTTGGAACTTTCTCTTCTTGGCTGTAATCTCTGTAGATTAGATTTATAGAGGATTAGAGCTACATTGGTTTAGTTAGCAGTGAAGGATGAGCAACGGAGGAAGCCAGGAGCTGTTGTTTTGAATAACGCTAGCACTTAAACCTATATACTGCTTCACAGTGCTTTACAGCCCTCTCTAAGCAGTTTACAGAGTCAGCATATTGCCCCCAACAATCTGGGTTCTTATTTTACTAACCTCAGAAGGATGGGAGGCTGAGTCAACCTTGAGCTGGTCAGGCTTGAACTCCTGGAGTGAGCAGTGAGTTAGCCTGAAATACTGCCTTCTAACTGTTGAGGTAATTCCCCATTAGGAGAATGAGCGCATACAGGGAGACGTATAGAGAGTATTGTTGGAATAATACACACAGAGCACACAGATATGCTGTACAGTAAATGTAGGTTTTTACTTCCAGAAATATTAAGCAAAGTCCAAACAAGCAATCCAAAGTCATCCACAGGTAAATCAGTCAGTTTTTTCAATCCAGGGATAATCCAATTAGAAAGTCCAGTGTCAAAAACAGTTCAGTATTAGACTTACATTAAATCCAGAAATAGCAGTCAATTAGGAAAAATGGAGCAACAGCAATACTTTCCAACAGAAGGAAAACAGAGATACACTCACATTCTCTTCTGAGACTCAGACTAAACAACCCAGGTTTCTGGCTCCATCTTATGGCCATTTGAGAAACCACACCCAATTGCAGTTTTTGCAATCTCTTAAAGACATAATACTAAAATGTCTATCCTGGCTTATATATTTCTAACCCAAATACCTGTTAGGTGACTTATATTCCTAACACTAACTATGCTGACAAATTGGGGATCATCAAACACATTTCTTGTTAATTTTATTCCTTTTTATCCCTTTTAAAAATCAGCAAAACTGAAGAGAAAGCGAAGATGTCTCCTTGCTGGCCTTGGTTAGTTCAAGGACAATCCATCTCCTTCCATAAAACAACAACAAATAGCCTGTTCTTGGATTGAGAAAATCACTAGTCTTTGTGAAGCTAGAAGAAACCTTGACTGTATATTTCTTCAATTAATAAGGCTTTTATTAAACATAATGCAAATAGTAACAATTCAAAAGATGAATGACCCCTAAATTAAAGAAATATATGCATTGAGATGTAGAGACACACAATAATTCTAAGAAAGCAGATGCAAAATTACATAGAGAAACCCATTATTTATTTACTTTTAGTCAAATAAGGTTATGCTTCACTTGGATTTATCAAATGACATTGTTAAGAAGTAATTTGTAATAGTTACTGTTTTATTTTAACATCAAATGTTCTTTTGTATTCAGATTTGGTTTCAGAATGATAATATAGCACTTGGGGATGAAGATGCAGCCTAGCAGGCCAGCATTGGAAGCCAAGATGGAGAAGATCTGCACAGCCACCATATATTTCCCTTTGGTGCTCAGGTAGGTAGGCACGAAGGATACCCAAACACTGCAGAAGACAAGCATGCTGAAGGTGATCAGCTTGGCTTCGTTGAAAGCCCCTGGGAGGTTCCTGGCTAGGAAAGCCACCATGAAGCAGACAACAGCCAAGAAGCCCATGTAGCTAAGAGCAACATAAAACATGGTAGCAGAGCCTTCATTACATTGCAGGATGATCTCTCCAGGTTGAGAGTGCGGGTCAGAGTCAGGGAATGGGGCAGAAGTGGCCAGCCAGCTGATGCAAATGAAAACCTGGACATTGGAACAAGAAAGAATGATGGAGTTGGCCAAGCTCTTTCCTAGCCATTTCTTCAGTTTATTCCCTGGTTTTGTGGCCAAGAAGGCCATTACTACTGTGATTGTCTTTGCTAGGACAGAAGAGATGGCAGTTGAGAAGATGATGCTGAAGACCATTTGTTGCAGGAGACAGGTTGGTTTGGTTGGCTGACCGATGAAGAGGAAGGGGGTCAAGAAGGAAAGCAGGAGTGAGATCAGGAGGATGAAGGAAAGGTCCTGGTTGTTTGCTTTGACAATTGGAGTTTCTAAGAATTTAATGAAGATTACTAAAACAAAGCCGGTGATTAGTGACAAGAAGAGGGCAATGGTTGCTAGGACAATTCCCAAAGAGTCTTTATAGGATAAGAAGGTTATAACCTTGGAGATGCAACGATCTTGGTTTATATTTGGATGCTGACCTTCTGGACATTTGGTACAAGTTTCTGCATCTATAAGGAACATCAATAACATAAAGAAAGAAAATAAAGACCATTACAGTTATACGAAATGTGTTGTTTGGGTGAGAGGTTATATTGAAAGATTGAAAAGACAGAAGTGATAATATGAATTAATGTATGTGGCAAAAGGCCTTAAAATATCTAGGAAGCAAAATAAAAGTTTTGAATGCTGATGGCCAATGATTCTGGAAAGGGCGTGGAATGGAGATGCACTTCCTCTTTTCTCCATGCCCTTAGAAGGAATCTTTCTCTTTTGAAGTGGAAAGGGATTTTCAGAAAGCATATGGCAAAGGTACAACTAATCAGGAGACTACAGTATTAGTACAAAGTAGTTATTTGACCATTGAAGAGTGCTAGTCCATATAGTTTGCATTTATGCGCTATCCAGGATGCACCACAGGAGGCAGAATAGCTCTGCACCAGAAGGACAAGATTCATCATCTAAGTGTCAACTAGTAAAGCATTCCTGGCCTGCTCTTGAGTTGCCATAGGTAGGAGGGTGGGAGAATTGATGGAGCAGCTTGGTTGCTATGACCAGAAATACATTCCACACATACTTTTCTCCAGATTGTATCCCAGGTTACCAGGACCAGCTGGAGAGGTGTTTTTTCTACAGCCCTTGAAAGTGCTCCTTTGGAGAATGTGATTTATGACACACCCTGGGAGGATGGGGGAAACAGGGTCAAAGGTGGGCAGTAAATTACATGGGGCAGAGCCGAATGCACTCGGGAAAGTACCAACATGTTGCTCCTAATAAATAATTGGATTTCTTTTGAAACTTGGCTTGAGGCACATGAATTAATTAGGGCATCTGTCGGAACCCTGACACCAAGGCCTTCTCTCATCACTGATGTCACCTGGCAGGTGAGTGTCGCATCCAGGATGGTCTAGCACCAGCATGGATCTGACCATCTGCATGAAACACTGCCATGTTTCTCACCAAAGTGGTATCTATTGACCTAGTCACATGTAGCATACTTTCGAACTGCTAGGTGGGCAGAAGCTTACGCAAGCAACAGGAACTCTCTCTTCCACATGATGCTAGGACTTGAATCACCAGAGCAAAGATCATCTCCAGAATCTTTAAGTCACTGAGGCACTCTGCCTCTTTTACTGAGTAAAAAAGGACTTGGATCCCATCGGAGTCAAACTCCTGGCAGTGGGCAAACTCTAATCAGTGTGCTACCTTTTCTTATAATCCCAGGCCCTCTTTGTCCCATGATATTTTTTATGTACTGCCCAAGTTTAACATCCAATGCCATCTCTTCCTTTTTTAGTCTCCAATATTGTGAAATAAATTCTTCATGTTCTTTTTAAAATATTGACAAGAAAAGAACCAAGCTTAGAATTCCCTTTGTATAGCTTTCCATGGAGAATGTTGGTGGATGGCATTCCTCAAGATTTGCCTGTTTTCTCTAATGTCACCCACCTTCCCTAACTGAGATGGTTCCTTCTGCACATCGAAAACAGTTGTAGCAGCAAATGGGCTCTCCTTCCCGAGCTACCTTCACAAATCCAGGACGACAGCTTTCTACACACCTGGAAGGAGGCAATGGCTAAACAGAGAGAAGAAGAACATCCAAGAAATGAATTTACTTCAAGAGAGAGGGTCAGTGTTCCAGGAACATTCCATTCTGCCC